TAAAACGCTGAGCTGCATGAGAAGAGAAGAGGCAAACATTTTCAAAACACCATCATGCCACTAAATACACTTTGTTCTGTACTGGAATATTGTGGACTACTGCTATTAACATCCCCCAAAAAGAGACTGAAAAGATAATGTTTGATTATTATAGAGGAGAGCTAGGAGCTAGAAAGCATACAACAGATATCTGAGAAACTAAATACTTTAAGCTAATAACCAAATACCATCAAACTGTATAATCTGTGAGGCCCATCTTTTTGCAGTTTTGAGTGGGCCTTTGTACTTCTGAAATATGAGCATATGCTAGACTGATTTTGAAAAGCAAAATTAAGTATCTAAGAGGAAAATGCAAAAATACTTTGAATCACTAATTTGATCCAAAGGCATTGACCTAACTTTGCTATATTAAGTCACTAAGAAAATAAATACTCATATTTAAAGATAATGGTGATTAAAAGTGTTTGCAGAGGAAAACAAATAAGTTAACAATACTGATTTCTGTAAGTCTCTGATATTATGAAGCATTTACAAACTAGTTGAAGAGTCCTTACTGAACAGGGAAGCTTTCTTGAACCAAGACCCAAGCAAGCCTGTACTTATGCATATCACTGTGGACCCCAGTGGTTCATGTCAGTTATAAGCCTGCTAGTTAAAAAAATTTTAAGCAAGGAAAGAAAAATCAAAAAGAAAAAAAAAAGAAAGTAGTCATACATTTCAAACTCATCATTCCACCACCATCAGTAATAATGTCTAGCAGTGTACTTGTATAAATCTGCTTAAAGCACTTGTAATATTTGCACTGTAATAAAATAAGAATGCTGCTTACATCTCTCTATATATTCATTTCTGGAAAAATCCAGGAGTAATATGTAGTACACATGAATATTTATCAGAGGAAAATAATGGTTATACCCATATTTAATTTTTAATCTGAGATCTTGGATATTATTAACTTTCCTGACAGTATTAAGAGGAATAATTTCATAATTCAGTAGCGAAAAGAACTGCAAATGAACCATAAGTAAATAGAGCTGAATTATCTTTTGCAAAGATCTGAGAAAGAAAGACTGAGGGTATGCAGGCTGCATGTGAAAACCTACAGAATTCAGACATATTTAATGCGTGACAGGCTACCTTGCTTCAAGTTCTGCCTTCGGAGTTCCCACACTCAGGAAATAAATCTGCAGGCAGGCCCCTTCTCTCTGCCTGCAGCCCTGTGTCCTGGAAAAATGTGATTGCATTACAGTCTCAGAGGTGTTTTGGTTTGGTTTCACATTGCTTACTTTATTGAAAAAGTTTTTAGTCTTGACAGTTGCAACGGAAAAAATCTTGAAACCAAATGTAGCTCATGGCAAGAGCACTGGCCTCCATCTGCAGAGATATGACAGTAGATGGGAATGGAGCACAGAGGACCACATGCAGCTCACCCAGGCCATGCTGGCAAATTCCATTTGACATACTGGGCAGATGTCCTGCATGTGCCTGTAGCACCCTGGGTCCGAAGAGGAGCATACCTGTGGAGTGGAGTTGCCACTCCACCCCACTTGCTGTGCTCAGGTTCACATCATGGAGGACTATCAAGTGCACAGGCTGGCTTCCTCTTGAATAAAACTGAGCCAGAAGATGTCCTCTGGAGTCACTCCTCAAGCACACTGGGTGTAAGCAGATATTCAGACAGAAACCACTTTGTGCAGTCCAGTGGTGAGCATGAGTGGGCTACACAGCAGCCCAGGAAGTTTCATACCCAAAAAGGACCTATGCCATGCAGAGGTACGTGCCCCCTCATGGCCTCTTGGACCAGCCTAGAGATGGGACAAAGTAAATCACCCTTGAAATGTGTACAGGGTGGATGCCAGGTCTGCAGCATCAAGGGGTTTGCTCTACAGACCTGCTCCTATTTGTCCACAGCATTTGCTCATGTGAACACAACCTCTGATGCCACCAGCACCCCGAGTTGGCAGGTACCGATTCCCTCTCTGTCCCCAGCTTTTCCCTGTGCAGGAAACTAGCAGAACAGATACGGGGGACCCAGCTCTGCAGAAGACCAGAGCGACACAGAATGAGACAAACTAAATTTTAGCAAATGAGACAAACAGGGATTATACAAAATAGACACCTAGTAGTTGGTGCTACCAGTGCTTAAGACAGAGCAGGAAATAAACCATGAAATTAGGTCTATTACAACTAACTCCATCAGGTTTTAATCTGCTTTGCCTGGATTTAACAGTTGAGAAGGATCTTCCTGACAGTTCTCCCTGGCTGCAGGATTACTATTTGGGTGTGTAAGGCTAAGCAGGTGCACGAACACCTTCCTAGATCAAGCTGAAAGGCTTTCCCTAGGCTGGCAATCCTAGAAATGGGGAAAAACTCCTGACAACTGCGCAAGTCACCTATCCATGCCAGTCACAGGGTGACCTCCTTAGGATATTCAAATAATTTGACCAGTCTGGTTTTAACTGTTCACTAAAGAAAGAACAGGTGTTACAAAACTGTCTTCAGGAGCTGGATACCTAGTTCCTTTAAATTAATGGCAGCTGAGCACTTAAAACTTGCCAGTGTTTTAAAATACTAAGTGGAGCAATGAGCACAACTGGAAGAGTATACTATAGATCATTAAAACTCCTTTTTATTTACATATTCAACCTAAGCCTTTGTGTGTTTCACTTGGTCTTATTTCTTCTAGTTACATTTCCTGGATCTAAGACTGTTTCTTTTCTTGCTGTGATGCTTGAACAGCGTCGCACGATGATCACCTTGCTTGTCTAATACACATTTAGCTCTTTTTCATCTTCATGAATCAATCTTTTCAGACGCTTTTTCGCTCTGTCATCCTCCCCTGAACTCATTCCAGTGTCTCAACAGCTTTCTGGGTTTGACGTAGCCAAATTACACACTGACTTTCTCACCACTGCCTAATTAACAATTCACAGCCAATATATAAGAGTCTCTTTCTCTTACTGATTCATAATATTTTGTTTCATTTCCTAAATGTATCAGTATTAGTAACAATAGCCTCCTCACATCTTACTGAGACATGCAGCTCTATAGAGTAGTGGTCTTCTGGGGGAATGCACGACAATCCATTGGGATACAGGAAGAAAATGTTTTTCTAATATTACTAAATAAAATTAAATTTTAAAATAGTAATTTTTATCTTTATCTCATCCTTTTAAATTTCTATTCATGTGTATGTTTTGTAATATACATGATATATTATTGCAGTAGTAAATGTATATAATTTACAAATAAATAAATGTACATATATTGGGAGTGTATGTTCAAAAATTTTTTACTGATATGGGTGTCCAATTATAAAGGTTTGGAGACCACTGCTATAGAAGTAAGAGGTGGTAACATACATATATTTTAAGTCTTAAGCTATTTGTGTCAGAAGATCCACCCCGTTGCCACTATACACACTACAGTATATACCACATCGGCTGTTGAACTCACCTGGCGTGGGGTCAGGCCTTGGTGACTGACACTGGAACTGCCTGCACAAACTGCTGCCATCATTCCCCATGGTTAATGGTCTAATCAGAGAAAAGCGAGGGTGTGTTGGAGAGTGCAGTTTGGGACCAGGCACTTTGATTAGGTAAAACAGATGCAGAGCTCTTTTTTTCCCTGTAAACAGAAATTCCTTTGAGTTTACTGTGTGTTTTTCACACATTTTGCACATGCATGTATGTGCACAGGCTATAAAAAACATGTATATTTTATCTATTATGGCATTATTTATTGTATTGCATTAGCATATTTATTACTGTATTTTGCATAGATTTACTGTGTTTACTGCACACATACATTAAATTTATGCGATATACCCAACAAACAGCACACATATATTTGACACATTCTGCCTTTAGTTGTAGGTGGAAGAACTGCAACTTCTATATTGTTTGACATATCACATTATAATTTACCATTTGCCTTTGGTTGTAATTCTGCCAGACTTGAACTCTTTGCACTGAATTTTTATATAATTTCTCCCTGCTTCTGACTTAATTTCTTTGAAGAGTTTAAGCAAAAGTGATTTAGCCATTTTTAAGAACAAAGTTTGTGAAGAACAGCCAGTTTAACCTATGCTGAAAACTGTTCATCTTCTGAACATCTCCAACCACAGTCTGGAGAAGAAATTTACAGCAATCACCCCAAACATGAGAAGGGTCACCTACTTTTTTTCTGAAAAAATATCCAGATTGTCTAATCCTCTATTTTTGAAATACATGTTTTTCTGTCATGAACCTAGCTCTAAAGCCCCTGGAACCAATATTCTGGAAGAGACTTAGAAAAAAACCACCAATATCACGTTCCTTATTCAAAATGGTGAATGGCTCTGCCCAGGGGTTCCTGACCGAGACCTGGGTGCCCAAACTAAACTGTCCGCAGCTAGACCAATAAACAACATTTTTCATAGTGCTGCCAATTTTAAGTTTGATACAAAGGCTAAAAGGCAGTTTTGAAACAATTTAGAAAGCAATGGCTATCAGTCCCTAGCCCAGTTCAGAGCGCAGTGGGCTGAGAGAAGACCGAATTCAGGTCCACCCTTCTCAAGATGAAGGTAAATAGTTCTGCAAATATCAACATTTTTGGCTGAAAGCTTTCCAAGTTGTGGTCTCCAAATGGTGCCATCCAAACACTTGGGGCTCAAAGGTTAATATGTAATAATAAAGTCACATTTTAAGAAGAATTTTGCTCAGATTTCACTTTCCACTTAGTCTTGACTGACAATGAACGTGCTCCTATCAGGAGTTTTGAGCTGGAGTCCTGTTTGAAGGTTAACGTTAATTCTTATTTTCAACATTCCAAAGCTTTAAAAAAATTTCTTACCAAGATGCTCATTTAAAAGTGTTCACTTACAGAGCCAGTCTGGCATAATGCTGCAATTATAGAGTACACACAATGAACATCAGATACCTTTTAATGAAGTTTTATCTTTTTTTTCTTGTTTGCCATGGGTCAGCCCTCTTCCACTCTGTATCAGTTATTGTAAATTCCTATTCATTTTCCCATCCCTGTTTTTGCTTTGTTGTTGAGAAAGTTGGTATAACAATGTTCTCAATTTTTTCAGTTTCCTCTTCCACCACCGATCCTTGCCTTCTGTTCCAGTAGAGAGGAGTGTACCAAGCCACAGCCTGAAAAAAACCTCCAATGTATCACTGCTTATTTATATTCTACATTTTTTCATCAAGATAATTGTTTGTTGTAGACAAACCAGGAAGGGCTGAAAGGGTAGGTGGTCCAATGTATTTCTGAGTTATTTATAATTTGAAAGATAAATATCAATCGCAACCACCAAATTCCAGCTTTTTTTCTTTGGTCTTTAAAATCCATTTCCAGTCTTTAAATGTATTTAGGGTAGACTCATCATCTGAGAGCCTTGAAATTCCACTGCTTCAATTAAGTAAACTAGACAAAGAAGGAGAGAAAAGAGCACATGACAATTCTGCAAGTATGTCAAAGGCTGCTGAAGAAAGAAAAAGCAATTTGTTCTCCACATCCACAGTGGATAGGACAAGGAGGAAAAGACTAAAACTGAGGCAGAAAAAGTTCAGTTTAGGCACTAAGAAAGTTCTTCTAAGCATACAGAGTGAGGCACTAAAGCAGATTACCTGGGGACCTGGTAGAGTCTCCCTTACTAAAGGTCTTCCAGAACTACCTAGGCAAGCCACAGCCAGGAGTAATCCTGGCAGAAGTAATCACTTTTCAAGTTCCCTTTCAGCCCCTGATTCCCTGGCACTGATGTAATAGCAAGTACAGCCAAACAGAGCTAGAAGAGGAGTAAATGTGAAAAGGTGAGACCAAAGTCAACATTCACTTAACAGGCTGTAAGGTGTAAATTATGCTACCTTGGTGGAAGTTGTATAACTTACACTGTTTATGAAAATCACAGGTCTTTTCCATATTATCACTAGTATGAGTTTGTCTAGCTAAAAATAACCGAAATCATAGTTACCACTGGACAACTATAGGGTAAAAAATGATTTGGGTCTCTTTCTCATCCCCAAGTCAACAGAAGTTTGCCTAAAATTATTCAACACAGTTGCCAAGAGGATGGCAGATACTAAAGGGCAGCCGTGGGCTCAGTAGCCCTGGGCATACCTAGATCTTTCATGGCTGAAACAGTGGAAGAGGACAGTGCGCTGCAATTCAAACTTGTGGAGCCCCTGCTTCAATCGCTGTAAGGATATTAGCCTTTCATTCAACAAGTGGCATCATCAATCTACTGTTTTTCTTCAGTCTTTCTTAATAATTAACATTCATTAACATCTACACTGAAGCAAGGTTAACAGAGAGAGATCACAGCTTTGCTTATGTTTGGATTGCTTGTGCTTGGTTCTACAAGGACTTTGAGGAAGGTCTCTGAAGGAAGTCCAGTGATAAGAGCTGTCTGGGTAAGAAAACATGGTGATTTTGCTCAGGGCACTCACTTGACCACTGGGCTCACAGAGAATAGTAGCACAGTCAAGGCTTGTCCTAAATCTTTCCAGGTCCTCCCAAAGAAAATCTGAGGGAGGTTTCTGAAGCACTGTGGCATCTGCTGCCCGAACTTGCAAAGATCAAGCAGCCATTAGATTAAAGACAAAATGGCTCCTGGATATTTATATAAGAACTCAGTAAAAACATCAGGTTTTCCTTTTCCTTTTTGATTTTTGTAACACTGGTCAACTATTTGATCTGTGAAATCAAAGCTGAAAGAACTATATTTCAAGACTCGCAGCTTAGTCGTAGTGATTATTTTCAAGTACCTCTCCTGTGGATTAACAGAGATTAGCAAAGGCACGTTTTTCAAGGTGTGACAGTAAATCCTGAGCCTTTTGGTCTGGCTTGCTGAAAATAAGATTAAAAATAGGCAGTTTCTTTTATTTTCTGAATTACCAGGGGCATTGGAAGAGATCTGTGATATCAGTTTTAAAATTCCAGTCTCTGCTTGATTCTGGATAACCTCTGTTCAGGGAGAAGCTGTCTCTACTGGAGACTAGAAATTTTTTGTACTTTTATCCTTATACAAAAGATTTAATGATGTTGTGCTTTATAAAGTGAACACAATTATCTGTGACCTTTATCACTAACGCACTAGCAAAAGGACCTGTTATGAAAACATTTCTCTTACATAAGACAACCACAACACACTTTTGCAAATGGTGTTCCTAGAGGATTTGGCATTTGCCATTTGTGAGAAAATGGCTTCAACCATTTCCTGGGAGCCAAAACAAGTCTCATTCGATTTTAAAGAAGTATCTTGAAAAAAATCAAATGCTCTCTTTCAAAAGTTCTCGCCATACGGCACTCTACCAAGATATATTTGTGGTTTTTTCACACATACACCAGAAGACAGCATTGACTCTGGCTATCCTGGGCTCCCACCAGCTTGCATCTCCAGCTTTCTTGTAAGAGGGCTCGCACAGGTCTGCATTGACCCACATTGAGCTTGGTGATGAACGTGGACTTTGCCTCCTTTTATTCTGTGAGGCCTCAATTTTCATTTCGGAAAAAGAAACAAGCACTGGTGGTAAAAGAGGCTTCAGGCCATATTCCAACCATCTACATTGGCATCTAACTTCAGCATTTTGCCTTTCTGTTGCTGTCACAGGTAGCTGGGGCCTGGAAGTCCTCCCTAGCTGGCTGTCTGACACAGACACTATTGTACATGAATTTTAGATGCAAGAGTTGGCAGCCTGAATATGACCCTTTGAAATTAATAAACCACCAGAAATTTTCTGCTTGCGTATGCTGAAACAGAAGTGGTAGTGGACCTCCTACCTCAGTCAGTTGTTCATCCAAGAGCCCTTTAATTGTAACGGGAACAGCAACCTTGTCACTGACTTCAGGACTGATCAGAGCACTTCAGAAAGTACTACTTTTAGGGTAGGTGGGAATGGCTGGCACATCAAAGCCAACTAGGAAGAAACAACTTCTGGGGAGATCTGCAAGGTGTCTTGCAGCCAGCAACTTTACCCAGTACAGCAAAGGCTGTGCCTGCACTGAGTGCAGGTGCATCCCAGAGGTTGCTGGAGGCTGGCAGATGTTCCTCAGCTACACCTACAACCGAGCCTCAGTCACATGTAGTTTAAGCATTCAAGCCTTTTTCATTACCATGGATATCAGATGCATATATTTGTTGTTTTCTATTTAAAGCTTTTCTGGGGTATGATGAAGTCATCTGACTCTTTGCATCTTAGATCCTATCTACCTCTCTAAGTCTTATTCAAACTGGCAAAAAGATACATCTGAACTAGCTGGAGGGGAAGTAATTTTTGAAGAGCAGCAGCCCATGCACTGAAATTTTTAACATATAGTTCTGGCATGACATCAAAGGAGAGCACATCATTATCTTCCTTTTACAGAATAGGAAACTAAGGCACATAGTGTCATTGTTTTGCCTAAGGTCATCCAAGGCAAAGCCAGGAACAGAGCCCCATTGCCTGAACAGTGGTTTATGGCTTTCTCTGCTAGATAACAGCTGTCCTCAGATAGTGGGCAGAGTCTGGAAAGTAACATCATTTTTCTTTTTATTTCCAGTGGTACCTCAGAATATATACAAATTGTGTAAGTTAACTTATTCCAGGATAGCTTCCTATTTCTGGGCAACATGAAATGCTGGATGCGTCATGCAAATGCCAGGCTTGCACTGATGATGGACATTAGCAGCTTCTTCTGAATTCATCATTATTTGTGAGTGTTAGCCTTTCTGAAAATACAGACTCAAGTTTGTCTCTATACCATCACACTAAGAGTGTACCCTAGTCTGCCAGCTGAGAAAAGGCACTAAGTCTCCCTACCACGCTAACTGTCATGGTGGACTTGGGCCCCATCGTGGTCTCAGGGGGAAACTGAAATACAGCCACTATTTGACCTTGGACGTCCTGCTTCAAAAGATAATCCCCAATTCTTTCCTCTTTTTCAGGGGCACAGTTCAGGATCTTTACAAAATGACCACGTGGATCAAATTCAGCAATTTTTAAATTTCCAATAGTGCTAAAAGAACAGAAGTTGATTTGAAAGTGTAAAAGCATCGCTTCATTGAAAAAATACATGTATTTCCTTATAACAACTAGCCTCGATGTCAGTAATTAATCGTAAGTAAACATACCACAGGCAAAATATATACAGCTCTGCCATTCTACTTTTTATGCAGTGCCTTTCACCTGAAAAAATCCATTTGCATTAAAATTAGTATATTCTGTTTCTCTTTCACACTTAGGTAGCATGTATTATCCCTAGAAATTAGAAGCTTCTTTGTGGGGCAAAAAGTCATCAGTATACCATTTGAATTTGTTTTTGTCTAAATCTGTATAGGCTACAACTTCTAAGGCTGCCTTGGGTATTTAGCCTAGTACGATTAGTGACAGTTGTATAGCTGACTCCCCTTTGTAATTCTGAAAACTCCTCCCAACCATCAATATACCTTTCTCCTCCTGCCTTTCATTGTTTTTTCCTTCCTGGAGGAAGACAAATCTTCATTATTAACAATTTATTATTAACTCAGAGAGACTCCATGCTACAAGACTGAGATTTCATCCCTCCCTTGGTTCAGAATCACAGCAAAGCTGGGTCTGTTTTGCATCTGCAGTAAGATCAGGGACTCCTTGCATGAGCAGGGAAACACTCAATCTCCCTTAAGCACTGGAAAACGAATTTATCACTTGAGTGTTCCTAGAAGTATTGCACATGTCAAGGGAGCACTTTTAAACACTCAGTCCCAGACTGTAATACTCATCATAGGTCCTATTAGACAGGTTGTGAATGAAGTCTAAGAATCATTCAGCTTTAGATGTGGCATCTACTACAATAAATTTCATTATTTAGCACTGGTGCAGCATCTTGTCCTTCTTCTGTGTATGTGTTGCTTTTGCCATTGCCACATTTGTCTTGTTCCAGTAAGTTTAAGTCAAAGGCCTCTGTGTGTATAGTAAAAGTTGACCCAACAGCCTAGACAGCCTATGTGCTTGCTTAACATAGCCAAATCCTCATCCACAGTGTGACAAATACTGCCCACCCACCCCAAATAATTCAGCTGCATGGTGTAGCAGCGAGTCACACTTGCTCATGACAGCCAGGCTGCCTCCGGGCTGCCGCTGGCATGATAGGTTTGGAAGCAGAGCCGCGGGGAACTGCCCCCTCCCTGGCCAGAGAAGACATGCATAGCGAATGTAACACTTGGCTGCCTCTCCTCTGCCTTCCTGCAAACTTTGGGAACAGTAGAGCATCCCTCCTCCCACTCAGTCCTGGTCTATTTGTGCTTCATGTCAGCAAAAAGAGACCTGGAAACAGCTTACCAGAGACGCAGAGCCTCAGAGGGGCTTTGGTAGCACAGCCAGACTGAGGGGTTCCTCATCTTCATATTCTCCCTGTCTTCTGGCTGCTTACTTTCATCTGGTTGCCACAGTTTGGCACGTTTCTCCTTCCTCCCTGCTCACAGGACCACACTGTAGGCTGGATTCCTGAAATAACCCAGTGTAAAAGGTTTTGGGGGAACATTATCTTAACCTGAGCTTTTTTAGGAGTCTCTGTAAGCTGCTGTATCAGTGCAGCTGAAGGGATGGCCAGCTGTGCTTCAAAACTTTGCAAACTGCTGATGCAGAGAATGATCCTTCGGGATCCCTTGGTTTGTAAATCATCATTTACACATGCAATACACATGCAGATGTAAAATGCTGCGACTCAAATCCACAGTTGCTTTCTACCTACATGACTACAGTCCCAGGGCTCCAGCAGTGGCCTAGGACTCCAGTAGGCTCTAAAAACAGAATGACACCAGCAAAAAAGAGAAATTCCTGACATTTTTACCCTCTGGAAGGGTGTAGAGCCAGTTAAGTCACTGGGAGAAGGCTTTTAAACCATAGAGATGGCAAAGATCTTCCTGATCTCTCATTTCTCTCTATCTGTGCAAGGAAGGGGAAGGAAAAGTTTTGGGTGCCAAAATGCACCTAGGAGGACAGGAAAAAGCAGATGGGGAAAGACACTCCCTAAAATGTTCTTGAAAGTCCATTTTATGATGTAACATTGTAAACAGCAGAATCTTGGTTGATAAAGGAGTGAATAATGAGGGTCCAGGATAGTGTAACTTTCCATAAACAAGACTTCAGGTTGAACCTAGTGAAGTCAGGGAGACTTGGGAACATAAAATGGGGCTGACAGGAGTTTTTGATACAACACACAGGACTGGTAAAGGAGCAAATGACAGAACATGGGAATTTGGTGCTGGAAGCTGCTGAAGCATGCAACACAGAGCTGCCAGCTTTCGTCCAGGCAATCCACTGCCTCACAGCCATGCTGGCTGAAGGAGAAGGCCAGATACAAAGCTGCAAGGGTTAAACAGCAAGGTTGGCTCAGTCATGCCTAAGGGTGAATCAGACAAGAGCTGTTAGTGATAAAGAAGAGTAAATGGGCTTGATCATCCTTCACTCTCAGTCTCAGGGACTTTGACTCCACTCATCACAAAACTTAAGAGCAGGTATAATTCTCCTCTTCCCTTTACTTATAAGGGAAAATGAAGCTCTCTCACACACACTCCTTCAC